CGTGGTTTTTGTATTAGACCCGTCGTCCATTTATTTGTAAGTCAATGTCTACAGCCAAAGAGTTCCATTTTCAAATTTTGTAATTACTTTATAAATATTGTATGTATGTAAACACTTTATTGTGCAACACAAACAAATTACAAATTAACAAAGAAATAGAACGTTATTGTCCAAAGGCGAGCTTATCACATAAAGGGATTTCTTCCAGCTAACCTTTGAATAATTGAAAAGAAAGTTGGTTCCTGGGTTGGCAATAAAATTTAATAAATCATTCAATTGAATGCTACGTACTCAATAATTATTGAACAAATTTATTATATCAAATTTACACACGAATACATAATATTAAATAAATGACGATTGTTTATATAAGTGGCCAGTTCCGGAATCTCATAGTGCGCTTAATGTATTAAGTATATATTAATAATATATCTAACATCACGACAAGTAAGTTATCGTTGACTATAATTTAAATTTGAAAAGCCCACAACAATTTTGTTTTGTTCTGTTCGTTTATAACTTATGTCATTGTAAATAACTATTTTGGCCTAAGTTATTTAAGATAAATATTGTTCGTTGTAATGTCCATAATAATAAAAAAACAATGTCAATGAAATAATGAGATTTTGTACAATATAGTCGTGGAACTTGTTTTTCTGTAACGTGTTCTGATTGTAGCAACCACAGAACAGTAAATAAAGTAGATTTTTTTTAATAACGCACACACTCAACATAGCCCCGCAATAGGGAAACCCTGCGTCGCGGGTGCCATGGACACACACATAGACAACCACAAATTACACCCAAACTCACGAGAGAAATAAATGTAGGCCACACAAATATTTCTCCCAGCCCGGGAATCGAACCTGGGACCTCTGCGTGGCAGTCCGGCATGGTAATCGTTCGGCCACAGAGGCAGTTAAAAAAGTAGAAGTGGTTATTTAGCGTCTTACGTGTGCCAGTTATAAGTCTCGAAAAACTTTTCGCTTTATATGGTGTGGTTGTGTCATTTTTTCAAAAATATTACCTGTAGTAGTATTTCGTATCATCGGTAAGTCTTATTTTAATAATTTTTTTGTTTATCGAATTGATTCAGATGTTAATCGTTCATCGTAGTCTAGTTACTGGCCGCAAGATGGCAGCACGTTAAATAAAATTTCATTATATATCGATATAGCGACTGGGTAGAGTTTAAAATTATATTCACAATCCAGAATTTATTACATTTTTTTTAAATTAAAGACTGCGACCAACCATTGTCAAGATTTCGTAGTGTTTATCATTTGTTGCTGTGCTTTTTGGCGACAGCGGTTCCGATAGTAATCGAGATTTAAGGCATTTCCATTGTTTTTTTCATCCGTGGTAGCAACCATTTCAAGCGATGAATTTCGTCATTGTTATGATTGATCTCAATAAGTATATCTATTGATAGACTAACTTGATTAAACCTAATTAATGTGACAAAAACAAAAAACAAAGGTCTGTAACAAAAGAATAGAGAAATTCGTGAGGTCTGCTGACTCGATATGTAGCTCAGTTGGTAGAGCGGTTACTCCAGATTGGTAAAACAGCCGCAGCGTCGAGTCCTGTCAGATCGAAGAATTTTTTTTTGTGTTCGATCTTTGTTATAAATAATTAAACTTAACGTTTTCGGCGCTGCTGGCGCTGGTGGATGTGGCACCGCTTTAGCACATCCTATGGATTGTAATGTAGATTCCGCTTGGAATATTCTGTAGGATTTTATGTAGCCAGGAGAGTAGTAATAACTTCAGCAGCCAACGCGCCCGCATTCTCTTGCTTAGTATGTTTAGAAGTTCAAAATTCAAAAAGGTAGTAGTGATAAGAAATCCAATTTTATAAATATTATTCCCGTTTCATTAATATTTGTGATAAAATGTTTATCGCAGAAGAGATTTTTGGTAACTGGTAAACGGTTCAAAAAATTAACCGAGAAGATGTGTTCGCTGGCGTGATCGGGCAGGGAGTGACGATAGAACGAAACAAAATCAGAATGCGAGGCAAAAAACCATGGAACAATTAAAAATTTTAATTTAAATACCAGTGGCCAGGAACAGGAGAAAGACGATAAAAATGTGGGATGACGATGTAAGGAGGTCACACCGTCACAAATTTAACTGCCTCCAAGGCCGAACGGTTTGCCACGCAGAAGTCCCGGGTTTGATTCCTGGCCTGGGGGAAATATTTGTATGCCTACATTTATTTCTCCTGTGAGTTTGAGTGTATGTGTCCATGGTGCCCCAGGGTTCCCCACATCATCAGCTTACACGCATTCACTGCTGGACATAAGCCTCCCCTTGAACACGCCAACTCTCCCAGTCTTGTGCCGCCCGCATTCAGCAGCTGCCGGCCACCTTTCTCAGGTCGTCCGTCCATCTTGCCGTAGGGCGTCCCACACAGCGTTTTCCTTGACGTGGTCGCCAGATCAAGTCTGCTTCATCGGAGATCAACCTTCCCACAGACATTGCCACTTAAGCTTACTGATTTTGCGAACTATGTCGGTCACTTTAGTTCTCTGACGTTTGACTTCGTTAGAGAGTCGGTCCATCAGAGAAACTTCAAGCATAGCTCGTTCCATCGCACGGTAAGCGATCTTAAAATTTGTGGACGAGGCTTGTTGTTAATGTCCACGTTTTGGCTGCGTAGGACATAACTGGTAGAACGCACTGGTTAAATGCCTTAATTTTAGGCTTTGTGGGATCGACGATCTGAACATGCGCCAAGTGAAGTTTGAAGCTTCCTTCAATGCCACCCAGCCCAAATTAATTCTCCCGTCGGCTTACTTCTCGAATTGAGCTTGCCAAGCTGGGTTCCCCAAGTGCGGGGCTATGAGTGTATGCGTAAAAAAATACCAAAAAAAAATGAGAATATAATAATTTTGGGATTTTAATTGATATTCTAGAAACCAAATGCTATAGTTATAAGAGCTATAATTGAAAAAATCTACTAGTCTTACCTTAAAAGTAAAAACAGCTACAAAGTCAAACATTCCGGTTTCGGCCATAATGGCGACCAAGATCATCATGCTGAAAAGTAGCAACAGGGTTTCCACGTCCAACCAGGATATCAGCTCTGGAATGGTCGGCCTCTGTCCAACTATGGAGAGCACTGCAAGGGATGTTGTGCTTATAAGGACTGCTGCCATTGTACGGTTTATTATCTGAAAGGTTTTTAAAGTGGTATTTGAAAAGACATCTTTTATTTATAAATAAAAGTGACAGACAGTGCAAAATTGACTGGTGTTAAAGAACAATGGTGAAATTATTTTTAAAATAATTCTTTGGCGTCTTCAAACGTCATAATTACAAGTTTGAATAAAATACGTTCATTACATTTTTCAAATTATATTAAAGGCCTGTCCAAGTCTGAAAATAAAATCATAATATATTTTAAAAAACTCAAATGACCAAATTAGTATGTAACATATCTGACTCTCCGGGTACTTTCCTATGTAAAATAGCACAGGTATCTCTGGTACTAGAATAAAGAAATTAACAGAACGTTATCCAGAAGATGCGGACGCCAGAGACTTACCTCTGTAATAATAAGAGTGTACAATCCACAGAGAAGCAATGTTGCATAAAGGACCCCCTTGGCGGCATCCAGGGGATTGAGTTGGAATGTCATCATAAACGGTACGGTCTTCTCAGTACCTTCTGTACGTATATGAATTGCAAAGGAACCTGTAAAACATCACATTATATATTATACCTTCAGTATAGGCCTTTCAATCTCGCTGCAATTCTGTGTTCCTCGAAAAGTTATAAGAGACTCGGTGCGGTCTCGGAGATACCGGGAAAACGAGACGTTCGAAACTTTCTAAAGTAGGTTTCCATTTATTTTTATGATACCAGGTGACGGAACGAACAAGTCGTACTCCTGGTGTTAAGCGATACGCCAGTCCATAGCAGTTACAGTGCAGATCTGAAGGACATTGCTACTGCGCCTGTCGTCCTAAGACATAAGTTAAGTCCCACGAGCCTGTACTTTTACCAGCATCCTTACCCTTCAAAACTGGAACGCAGCAATGCTGTTATTACTGCTTTGTTGGCAGAAATAGGTAAGGTGGCAGTGCTACCTTAAACAATTTTCACAACGAGCTCTACTGCTACTTATTCCACTCTATATCTATAGGCTAGATATTAGCGGGCTTTACACAGACACTCTATCGCGCATGATATAGCAATCGTACGCGATTGAGCGCGCGTGTAAGGAAAAGGGAAAGACCGCGCGATTGCACTCCTAAGTTGCGCACTCCAACACGAGTCTATCCTGCCTTTTCACGCAGTTTCACGCGGTCTATCCTGCTTTTTCACGCAATTTCACGCGGTCTATCCTGCGCTATTAGCCTTTATACGGACGTTCTTTCCATTGTAACAAAAACGAATACGAACAATCGCGCGCGAAAGAACGTTAGCTTAAAAAATTTCGAACAGGTCATCTCGCATGTTTGCACGTGCAGACTCTCCCGCGCGCAATCCTGTACACTCCTGATCACGCCCGATACAGTGACTGTGTAAAGGAGACATATTGTATTTGTGATGGTTTTTTTCATGTTTATAATAGGCACATAAGAAACAAAAACCATTTAATGTATTTTCAAAAAGAGAAGACCTGATTTTATTACTACCGTTCTTCAAGCTTCACCCTTCAGTGTTGCCATGTAATCAGAATAAAGAATGTCTATTGGTTTAGTAAATTTTTTTACAATTTACTTAAGCGCTCGAGTATTTAGACTCGATGTTCCCTAGAAAGTTTCTATAAAAGTTTCCTGCTATTACCAGTATTTTCCGTATTCGCCGGTGTCGACCGAAGTTTACCAGATCTACGTTCACCTATATTGTAGTCCAGGTCATCTTTTTGAAGGATCAAAGTCCACGCGTCCTTAGGCTGGAAAAAAGATTTATATACCTATAAACTATATATTATGATCATCTAAATAAGTGTCACTTATTGGGGGGTTCTGCGGTGTGAGTTCTTTTTAGTTTCCATATATTTCGGAACGGTTAGCGCGTTCCCATTATGTCGTGACGTCTGATAGTCGTGCAGTTTAAAGTATCGTGGCTTGTATATATAAATGAAGTTATTTACATATAGTACAACACGATTAACTGTTGTTCACGACTTTTTTGGCGTTACGACGATAGACTGTCGTGACAATGGGAAGAGCTAGAACGCTATCTTTGTAGCGACTATTCGTTCAATGATGAATTAAACTTCCATGACACATTGACAACAGATAGACGCCATGTGTGAACAGGCTAGACGTGACAGTCGTCTAACGATCTGTGTTCTTTTGGGGCTGCAGTTGCGCACGTTGCAGACGTTGCAGTGCTGCGGAGATGTTTGACTTCTATGCTATAATGAGATGACGTTGCGCTTCCATGCGAGCTCGCCTCCGCGGTAGCACCAACGGACTGAGTGTGTCTGAGATCGTGTGGGACTCACCAATGTTACAACATTAGGTGCAGCTCCACACCAGGATATTTTTCGAATTTAAAAAAAATTTTATTTTCAAGCCTACTAACTTAGTTCTAAGTGAATTTGTTACTAACATTATAGACAAGATTTCGAAATGAATACTTATAAATTTGGTACATTTTTGAATACAAATTCCATCGCAGTTTATAGTAGGGGATTGCGATTGTCGCCAGTTTGTTGACTATGAAAACGGAGGATTTCGATAGGGAGTTTATTATCTTAATAAAAAGTATAGTCAACATTTGGATTCATAAGTTTCTGAATACAGTGACAAGCTATGAGTAACATGTGTGCTTCCATTTCGATATCAAGAAATATACTAAGTTCCGACGCGGCGATAAGGCTTGCGGTCGGTTTTGTATACAGTTAAGAGTTTGAAAAATGTTTATCTAAAAAGTGCACGTGTTCTATTTAAATCAGTTGATATTTTTAAAAATCATTGATATATGTAAAGTACCTATTGAATGTAGAGGTTTTCTTGTAAAATTACGATGTAAGAATGTGTTTTTTTCTATCGTGAAAATTTTTAGGAATGGTGTTTTCACACCGTAAAGTAATTCTGAGTTTTACTATATATTTTTTCCACGCTTGTTGATTCAACGCCTTCACTGTGATGTGGAATCAACTAAAGCCATTTGTAGATGTATAATATAGATATAAAATCTATTTGTACCTGTATAGGTGGTTTGGTATCATTCCATGGTGATAGCCAAACTATGATTTTTGGCGAGTTTTCCAGTTCAGTTTTGTTCAGTTTCTCCTGTGCTGTGTCACTGAGAAACGGCCCTTTTAACGTCAGCAACATTGTCACTTCTAGTGTTGTTGAATTTAGGACAATGAAGTCTGTAAATTATGAAACTAATATTAATAATCAATACAGAATACGATAACATTGCATTTACATCGAAATTCGTTGAAAAAATACGAGGGGCAGTGAAAAAGAAATGTATCCATCATTCTATTTATTAATAACAATAATAATAACGCACACACTCAACATAGCCCCGCACTAGGGAAACCCTGTGTCGCGGGTGCCATGGACACACACATAGACAACCACAAATTACACCCAAACTCACGAGATAAATAAATGTAGGTCATACAAATATTTCGCCCGGCCCAGGAATCGAACCTGGGACCTCTGCGTGGCAGTCCGGCACCGTGGTAACCGTTCGGCCACAGAGGCAGTTAAATTAAATTAAATTTAAATAAATTGCACACAGAAGAGTACAAATGGCGGACTTAACGCTATTAGGCATTCTCTACTAGTCAACCGGAGAGCTGGATTTAAAATAATTACCAGGGGTGCATAGCATGATAATTAAAACAGATAGGAACAAGTTTATAAATAAATATGATATATAGTTTAAACACACTATAAATATAGACCGACTATATATTTACAGCCCGCGGCGCGTAGTCAGTTTCAGATTACGGGGTTTGCTTATGCTCGTCGGTGGCACAGTAATTAGTACTATGGGCGCTTGATGAGGAGGTTCCAGATTCGATCCCTATTTTGAGCCAATTTATGAAAAAAAACATTTTAGTTGGTTCTGGTCAGGGTATTCTGGGCATTGCCCTCAGAACTATTGTTACACTGGTACTCGTAGTACAGCAAAATTCCCTAGTTTGAGACCATAAATTTGGAGTGATTGTATGGCATTTTTTCCCTAATTACTTCTCTGGCATATCTTCCAAGAAAAAAGAATCTAATAGAGAGACGGTCGAGATACAACGCTATAAGTATCTTATTTCCACTACATCGGGAAGTATGCCTTACATTTTGAACAATTGTGAAATCTTGTACTCGTAATTTAGTCTCCGTATACTACCTACGTGAGGTGGCGTGCGGACGCTTCGGGCTTCGCCCTCCGCTAGACCCCGGCCTACGGCCTCGGCACTTATGACTTTAAAAGAATTAACATAATGGCGGCCATATTGACAAATGTCAAAAAGTAAATTTTGACTGCAAATTAATGATAAAAAATGTTAAACACCCATAGAGAACGCCACATGCCTAATTTCAGTAGAATTAGAGCAAATTTTTATCAACCGCTAAAAAAGTTTGTGAGGCAGCCATATTGAACAATGACTAAAAGTAATTTTTAACCGCAAATTATTATTAAACAGCCATAATCTCTATGAAGGGTTCTCCCCCACATATTTTTAGCTGAATTAGAGCAAATATTGGGCAGCCATATTGAAAAATGGCGAAAGAAAAATGTTGACCGCAAATTATTATTAAACACCCATAGGACCCCCGCATGCCGATTTTCAATCGAAACAGAGCAAATTTTCACCTGCCGCCAAAAAACACTTCTATGGCAGCCATATGGAAAAATGGCGATAAACTAATGTTGATCACAAATTATTATCAAGCACTCCTAGAGACCCCCCCATGACAAAAGGGATCAGAACAATTTTTTTCTACTACCAACAAACGCTTGAATGGCGGCCATGTTTGAAAATGGCGAAAAACCAATTTTGAGCACAAAATAAATGATCTGGCACTTCTAGAGGCCTCCACTTACCAATTTTTTGCTGAAAGAGAGCGAGTCTCTTTCGGCAGCTATTTTTGATAAAAAAACGCCTATATGGCAGCCATATTAAAAAATGGGGAAAAAAAACTTTTGACTCCAAATTATGATTAAGGACTCCTAAGATCCCCGTATGATCGTAAGATCGCCATCTTGATTTTTTTTACACAGGAAATTGACCACTATTACTCTCTATGACATTCCTTTCAGCACCTCCTACCTATCTCTAATAGTTTCCGTGATAGAAGGCTTAGAAATTTGTATGGCGGCCATCTTGTTTATTTGAATTTCGAACATTTTTTACTGTCTGCGGAAATTGACCAACGTGTATCTCATAAAAGTGCACAAAAATCCCCCCCATGTATTATAGTTTTTGCAGGCCGTTGATCACTCGTTTACATTTTCCACATTCAGGTCTTCTCATATTTGATTCTTTGCCTTGGAGCCTATCCGCGTACAACGGTATAAATATCTTTTTCCACCATATCGGGAAGTAAGCGTTCTATTTTTCTAAGGCAGTCAAGGATTTGTAGCTTTATTATATATATAAAAAGCAACCTATATGCACATCAATTTATAATACAATAATATATAATATTCTAATATTATTATAACTTTTATGTCCTTCAAAGCTACTAAACTATCTAGTTAAAACTAGCATTATATAGATAACCTTACTCTATAAGTGCTTGTCGGTCACTGGCGCCACCACCTTACCAAGGTCATGTTTGTTTTTTAACCGACTTCAAAAAGGAGGAGGTTCGCAATTCGACTTTATGCTATTATTTGTATGTATGTTACGCGATAACTAATATTTGTCAAGCGATTTAGATGATTCTTTTTTGTTGGAAAGAGAGTCCTTAGTAGTGGTCTCATTTAAATTTGAAGAAATTCCACCTCTAAGGGTGGCAAAATAGGGAATAAACTCGTTTTCGGTAACTGATTTCAATAAAACTAATCAAATAGATGTTATTCCACGAACTTTTGAAGTCGGTTTTTTTTAGTTTTCCGTATTGAGATTATTAAGATACCAAGTATGGTAAATGGTAAGTGACACCACCGTCCATAACAGTTGCAGTGCCGCTCTGTAGGGCTGGCACGACGCGGCGCGACTTGCGCGAGAGCGACATAAAGCGCGAGAGCTCTATGCGAGAACAGGGGGCCTACCATAACCTTTCAAAAAACAATCTTATTTCAATGTAAGCTTATAGTAAGCTTATTATAACATTACTCATATTCGTACCGTGACAAACCTATCAACCAAGTAATGTATTATTGCTAAAGTGACAAAAAGAACGAATGATATCCCAGTATTGTCTACTCTTTACTAAAAGGAAAGAAATAACGCTATATGAACTATATAATTCCATCTCTTTCTTTTTTGATGTTCCGAATCGTCTTATCGTAGTATAATGTTTAAGTACTCATTCATTCATTCATTCATTCATTCAATGTTTAAGTACTTAATGTTATTTACATTCAGAGAATTTTTAAAGTTAAAAAAAGAAAAGTATGTAATAATACAATCTATTAAAATTACGTGGTTGTCAATTATTTTTCCGCATTTTCATGAAGAAAAATAAATAAAACAAGCTGAGTCTTGATTGTCACGACGTGAATTTGAAATTATAGTCTAGTGTCAACTGTCAGTGTCGCCAAGGAGCATATAGATGTCGCTGTCATAATTTTACGAAATAAACATCGCGTATTTTTATTTAACTAGAAATTATTTCCTATGTACTATTAAAAAAAAATAAACAAAATATTGAAGAGATATATGTAAGTTCAAATTAACTTTTAATCATTACAAATCAATATTTAGACAATAAATTCGAAAATAATATTGTTTCCATTGCACCCGTGTAACTATTTTAAGATTACTAAATTTGACTTATGAACAATATTACTTTGTTATAGTCGCGTCATAGTACGAAGTGAGGGAATGAATAGTCACAAAGCTGCCAATAAAACATCATAGTTTTAACACTATAATAAGCTTACTTTAAGCGCGTCATGGTACGAGATGTCAATGTAAGGTTAAAGTAATATTGTCTTAAGAGCTTGTGGTAGGCCCCAAAGCAGTATCTCGCGCTTCATGTCGCGCCCTAACGTGCCAGCCCTACTGAGCTTTAAATCGCAAAGACTTGACGGACATTGCGCTGGTCACTCATGTTTTATTGACAGAAACACCGTTTAAAAGGTTATGGTCTACTCACTTTTGATTTCTCGAGGTGCGGCGTAAGATATCTTATAAATCTCCTCTGTTTCGTTGTATAATAGAAAAACAATGGTGAAAAACATCCATGTTGCTATAAGTGCAGTCATTTTTACGTAGTGTACGATTTTGGCTATCTAAAATTCACAAAATAGTCAGTTTCAAGACCACAGACCACAAACCGCAAAATGATTGTTTGGTATTGCCATTAGAGCAGAACTTAAAGAGTCGGTACTACCTCAGCTCGAGTTCCAATCTTTTCTCGTACAAATACGGTTCAATTTGCTTAGGCCAAGTGGCAGGGACACTGGCTTTATTTCAGATTTTTTTTTACAAACTAAATTAGAGCCATTTGATAAATGTATACAGTATGTATTCATTCTGTATACATTTATATATGTAGTTCTATTTGGTTCAGTTGATATAAAAAAAATATCAACATTTTCACTGATATGCGGAACCAACCAAAGCCATTTGGGGTAGTATTGACTCTTAAGTAGTCTACAGACCGAACCCTCCGATCCGGTGTTGGAGGCCTTGTTTCTAGAATCATGTCATAGGATTAGAATAGAAATAAGACCGCCGACACCAAGCCGGGCTGCATTGCCGGGTCGGTGGGTTCGGTCTGTAAACTACAACACTCGCAGGATTTTATTACTAACATCATAAACCGCCACTTTTGGTCCATGACTTTCTACAAACCATAATAGATATGTTTTTGTTGCACTATCGGACACTTTTTAGACCTGTAATATTTTTTTTATTATTATTATAAATAAGTGCGCATTTGACCTCCATCTCACCCGACGGAGGTTGACGATGTAGCATGCACACCTAAATAATGCCTATTCACTCTCGCCTTGAAAAGGTCCAAGTTATAGCGTTCGGGGAATAAGTCTGCAGGCAGGGAATTCCACTCTCTAGCCGCTTGCCTTATAAATGTGGAAGCGTACTTCGTGCGAATCTTGGGCATGTCCACAACATAGGGGTGGAATCCCAGCCCACGTCTATGTTATTAAGATGGTTCAAAAACAAATTTATGATGGTTTGTTTTTTTTAAATATCATAAAGGAAAACATTACAATCTCACCTTTGCTTTTTTCTTTGCCGCTTTTGAGTTGCCCTCACTGCAAAGAAAACGTAGTTGAAAACTTAACTTTGATACAATATAACTTAAATTAAAATTTTAAAACCCTTGATACGAAATTCGTCGAGACCAGAACCCCAATTATGCTAATTATCTTTAAACCACTAGTCACTGTAATTCGTTCGAGACTCCAATGAGATTATATTAGAGAATTAGTCGGGTGTCGTCAATTGTTTCACTTCAAATCGACCAGTTTAACTTAGGCTTTGCTATAATGGACATAAAATTGAAAAATTACAAATTTTATTACCGATGAAATGTGATTCCGTTTGTTTTGTAATTAGATGTTTTGCTGTTTTTCCCACACCACCGAATTGAACAGTCCCCCATAATTAGAGATATTATCTTTATTACAATAAATACAGAATATTTAAATAGAAATCCGAAGACATTACAACAATATGACCTTGATAATGATATGGCAACTAGGTTCGTCCAGGGAAGAACTGGCACCTTACCTATTCTCTGCCGCCAAGCACTAATGTCAGCATTATTGCCAGCCGGTTTGGAAGGGTAATGGTGCTGGCAAAATTACAGGCACATGGGACTTGTCAACTTATATCTCAGGGTGACGGGCGCAGTGGCAGTGCTCCTCAGATCTTTGTGTTTTAAAGCTCTGAGTGGCACTGCAACTGTAATGGAATGGACCGGTGTGTCGCCTATCATCAGGCGCACCACTTGTTCGTTCCAGCACTAGTATCATTAAAAACTAAACAAACGGCAATATCAATAACAACAACCACACTGAAGTAAGCTCACCCTTCATTTTCCACGACCTGATTATCGGACAGTTTGTTTCCGCTTTTATCATCAACAAATACTTGGACGCTGTTTGTGATCTGTGGTGCCGAACTCACGAAGGGCAGTCTCGATCTTGTTGTGTTCCGGCCTTTTAATTGAGCTGACTCTGTGCCTGTAAAAAAGTCAATCATAATTTAAACGTCCCAATGCTGGAAAAGAGTATCCGGAGTCAGGACCTGAACTTAAAAGGTTCCTGTGCTTGCATAGGTTATAGCGCCCTTCTCGTATACCCTAAGGGCATTTGCGCATTATATCCGTTATATCGTTCCGAATCCGAGTAATGACAGTCCGAAATGTCACAGGGATCATTTTATTATCTAAGTGTCATAAGCGACATCCGAAACGGATCCGATTTTTCTAGATTTGCATAGTCTCGAATTCCGAACACATACGAATGGGATGCAATGTGTAAACGCGTTATGGGTCGGTAGTGACCCACTATAATCAATATTTAAATCAATACTTATGTAGAAAGGGACGAGGCTGTTCTGCCGTCCATTAACTAGAACGTGGTTAAGTAACAAATGGTCACGGGATAAATGGTCAAATATCCCTTTGAAATAGCAATAATCTCAGTACAGAGTACTAAAAAAACCGACCTCAAAAGTACGTGGAATTACGTCTATTTGCTAAGTTTTATTGAAATATCCCCTAATTCCCCACTATACAGGACTTGACACTGGAGATAATAAAAATCGGTTCTCACTACTCACAGTTAAATTAAAGTTAGGCGCCATTTATAAAAATGAATCTTCATGCGTGAACAGTCACCCTTAAAGGTGGATGATTTCGAAATGAAATGGGACCACTATGGAAGTACCCCCTTTCCAACAAAAAAAGAATCATGAAAATCGGTTCACAAATACCGGAATTATCGCGTAACATACGTACAAAAAAAAGGACATACAGTCGAATTGAGAACCTCCTCCTTTTTTGAAGTCAGTTAAAAAATAGAGCACAATTCTCTTTTAAAACCAGTTAAAATTAGTTAATGTGTTCGACTTATCGGATATTCTAAAACCGGGTTAGGGTTTTTTATGATGTCTCAAATATTAGGGTTGTGAACCTACTTCGACTTCATCGAAAAGTTCATAGTAAATCGACGCATCCGAAGAACAGAGTCGGATGTGATTATATAGAGAAATGAGATTAAGTACGTTACGAGAATGATTTCGTTATTCAAACCAAGGCCTATATAAAGGTGTTTTGAGAATTTTATATATCTTATTTCGTTTCGGACATATGAAATAGAACAACGGTCGATCTGACATCCACTCGCTAAGAAGAACGAACGAAATGCACTATATCCTGAGAACAAGTAGTCTTACACATACGTCTTTGTTCTACGGATGAGGCGAAATTTGAAATAAAAGTTCGCATGTAAATTCAGAAGTTCTAGACCGGATTCGATACTACGGTCTATGCTTGAGAGACTGTAGGTTATTACAGATTTTAGGCTATCACAGCTTTTTTTATAAATGTAAATATTGAAAAAAAAATAATTACAATCAGTGGATAAAGTAAAATTTTAATAGCAGTAGATCTCCTTGGGAAAGAATTCGTCCAGGGAAGTACTGCCACTTTACCTATTTCTGCTACCAAGCAGTAGGTAATGTGAGCATTACTGCGTTCCGGTTTTGAAGGGTCAGGGTGCTGGTGAAATTACCGGCATTGGGGACTTGTAAACTTATGTCTCAGGGTGACGGGCGTAGTGGCAGTGCCCCTCAGATCTTTGCGATTTAAAGCTTTGAATAGCACTGCAACTGTTATGGACAGGCGTGTAGCGTACCTTCAGGCGCACGACTAGTTCCTCCCGTTACTTGATATTATAAATAACAAAAAAAAAAGATTTTCAGACATGAATTAGGCACATTCTAGGCAAGTTTGTTGCCATCTCGTTGCATTCCAAATTATATCGTCACTTTAGATTAAATGAATATGTGAAATGCTTTCCTATATCTTTGTGCTTTATACTAATATTGCAAATACAACAAAATATAAAACATAACATTTGAAATTCGGGTCGGTGTAACACAATTAATAATAATAACGCACACACTCAACATAGCCCCGCACTAGGGAAACCCTGTGTCGCGGGTGCCATGGACACACACATAGACAACCACAAATTACACCCAAACTCACGAGAGAAATAAATGTAGGCCATACAAATATTTCTCCCGGCCCGGGAATCGAACCTGGGGCCTCTGCGTGGCAGTCCGGCATGGTAACCGTTCGGCCACGGAGGCAGTTAATTAGTATTGGGTCATGGAAAAATTTCCATTTTGAAAAAATCATATTTTTCCGGATATTATTTCCTTTAATTTTCCACATTCGACGTTGACTCCTGTCAAAAATTGAAGTTAGTGAACGAAAACGAAGGAGCCAACAACGTTGTGGTTATTGGAGGTTTTTTCGCTGTTATGTTCGCTCAGTATTTAGTCGAATAATAGAATACTTTGCCGTGGCGTCTTCACTGTTGTACAAATGTATGCCTCCAAATAAAGATAAAAACAATGTCTACCCACTTATAAGTTTCTTTTTAAATACTTTGTATTAGTTTGTTCGTAACCAGGAATGAATGGCATCGAGACAAACCCAACTAGGATTTAACAGTGTTTTACATTATTTATGTATACTTTTTTCTTAAAACAATAAAATAAATTTAAAAAAATCATTTTAAATCTCGTTTTTCTTTGTGGCATTTATCTATACAAGCTCATAAAAACAGTTGCTAAATAAAACTTCAAAATATATTTTTAAACGTAGACTATCCTTGATAATAACCATAATATGGAAAGTTGTGAGTGAATTAGTGAAGTGTAGGTATGTCCACTTTAGTTTAGAAAAAGTTTTTCAAAATGAAATCTTTCCAGCAAGCATGATTCAAATACGCTGCAGCAATTTGTTTTTTTTTTTATCAAAGCCATTATAGTTGTTCAGTTGCCTTCCAAATTATGTTTTTCAAATTTTTCGGGAAATTTTCCGGAAAATTTTCCACTGCTTTCAAATTTTTCGGAAAATTACCTAACAATAAACACAAGATTACAGTGTGTTATTGTCTGTTGTGAGAATAAAGCATTCTGCCGTTTTAGATCACGTGTGACAGTCGTAACTAATGCTTAAAATTAACGTGACGTTACTAATAAATCCATACAAAGAATAACTTACAAATAATTCGCATTCCAATCCTAATTCATATACAAAGACGTTTCAAACTTCATACCACTTCAAATTCTAAAAATTCAAAGTATTATTCATTGTTACATAATATTACTATACAAATCATTAAATTGTAGCGTTATAGTTGAAGTTTCACTGTGTCATTTTCACAACGTCATCATTCCATTGCTGTGCACGAGAATCAACAACGATCTCTGCTAAAGAGAAGGCTTGGTCAAGTTTTTCAAAGGTTAAGAACCATCTTCTACATGGATATGAAATATAACTTTTACCCTCCGCTTTTCCAGAGAGTACTACGGTAGGAAAATATATTCACCAGTAAAAGCACAAGGACCCCGATTCAGACTCTTTGATATTTTATCCGAATCGATCCATTGGATATTGTTCTCGAATCGAATGGCGCTTTCCGAGCTATTCAGAACATTACGAGTTAAACTTTTATAATAGTCGGTGAAATAGATTATAAGAAAAATGAAAACCCTTTTATATTAACGTGTTATCAACATATACAAATCATGTTTTTACAGTGGCATTTCAATTGTAGTCAGCTGTTCTTTCGCCCCGCTTGCGGCCGCCCAGGTTTCATTAATGAATTTGTGAAGTCGTAGTAACGTAACTAGCAATACAGTTGTGACGCAGTGGTTGTTTCGGACAATCACTATTTATACAAACATAATTAAAGTTATATCAACATTAAAAGTCACTTATTTTTATTTGATATTTTGCACAGAGGGTCTAGATCAAGTATAGGTTTGGCTCCTTTAATATGACTACACCTTGCGGTTACACCCTGTATACATTTTTAAGAATTTAAAGGCCTAAAATATAGGAATGCATTAATTAGTCTTGTAACGAATTAATAAAATTGAACAAAATCCAGACTTTATTTAAAATAATAAGAGATTTCCACATTAATTCTTGCTTTGTAAACAATAGGACGTTCGGTCACTTTCATTCGATAACTGTGTTCTGAATAAAGTTTGTAGCCTTTGCCGGTCGAAAAGTTCGAGTAATCGTACGGGAGTGACGTCATTTCGGTTCGGTTTCGAATACGACAGTTTGACGTTCGATTCGAATGTTGTGAATAAAAATAAAAAGAAATCGTACGATATCAAATCGATTGGTCGACAACTGAATTATCGTAACGTTCTGAATCGACCCCTTGGAGGACGATTTGCGGACCCCAGCCCGTTATACCGTACACTGTACTACCAACTGAGGTAGTAGTAATATAGGTAGATAATTTACCTATAGCACTATTGGTTGCAAGATTTAGTAGTAAGGCGGGTTATGAAATAAAAACTTAAATGTAACGGCATCAGCTGCGGTGAGGTTTTTCAAAAATCTCTCACTAGATGTCACTAGCGGAGACCAATACCGAAAGTCAATACAGAGATCACAGACATAGACGCCGCAAGTATAGCAATTTGTATGAGAACCGAGCGTGGCACATTTTATGTATCCTCCATGACGTCACACGAACTATTTAGTGACGGGAATTCAATTAATCGATTCAAGTATTCGTTAATTACAAGTAGTCGTGAAATATTAATATAGTAGAAAAATACCGTAACAATATAGTTATGTCCTTTATAAAAAGTTGTTTTAAAAAAATTTTGATTATTTAAAAAATTTAATTCGATCTTTGCATTAATAATCATAACAAAACTAGTGAAGTTATTTCACAATAAATCTGAATTATGAAATAAAATTAAAAAACCACGGACATAAAACGGTGTACTTCAAAAAGCCAATACAGTCACCCCATGTATTTTGTACACCAATTGTAAACTGTTTGTTTCCCAAATAAAAAACGTAAACAAAGAATAAGTGATCGTAAACCTTTTTTTTTTCAGGCAACAAATTACAGTAATGGAAAATATCGTCAGTATTGATGACAAATGACATTTACAAATGTCACTATATGTT